TGAAAGGAGACAATTTTAGCGAAGAAAATATTTCGGTCGCTACCCGGATTCGAACCCGGGACCTTTGAATGAGAGGCCAACACCTTAAAGAGAGCCCCCATACTTATTTTGATGATAGTATGATGCGACTTTCACCCTACCACAAACGTACGAAATTTTGTAAGAAACAGGACTTCTAAACTGGACGTCCTTCTTTTATAGGGCCTTGACCATCAATGAATTATTTATAGAGGCACCAGCCATCCCTGTCCAGGTGCTGTTTTAGCCTCTTTTAAGCCGAGCCATATTATGGGTGTGTTACCTTGAAAATTCTTCAAGCAACTCACAGGTTTAAATCACTGTTGGGGATTCAAATCAAGATCTTCTGCACCGTAGTTTTGCATGAGCTCTCTGCAAGCCCACAGTTTCTGGGTACTGCAATTCGACTTCGGCGAAAGAAAGCTATATAGACTTTTAGTTTCAGTTTTGGTTAACGTTTACGTCGCTTGCAACTGCAAAAGGTCATATAAGCGACCAAACAAGCTGCATATAAATTCATTTAGGAAAGGAAAAAAGAGACAAAAAAAGAAAGAAAGAAAGAAAGAAAGAAAGAAAGAAAGAAAGAAAGAAAGAAAGAAAGAAGGATGGAGCTGCACTGACATTTTCCTATAATCGCATTTGTTTCGTCAGGTTCTATATAGTATCTAGCTCAGTAGTTCACGATTCTGAGCAAGGCACATAATTGGTGGATTTTTCTATAACATTGATCTTCTGTTTAAGTCACGCGAGTCCAGTGGCAATTTCCCGATATTCTCGTGTGTTCTTTTCGGGCAGTGATTGTGATTAATCAGGACAGCCTTGTTCGCCCGGGCATGTTCGTGAAAGTTCCTGCTTGGTAAGACTGAATGATATTATTTTCTGCGTCTCCTTGTCTATCGTGTATGTCGTGTTGTCTAACTTATTGTTATTTTTATTAATTGTTGCTATTTATGCTTCACACAGTGGGTGGTTTGTGGATGCTCCGGTGTGGTTTGCTTCTTCTTTCCTATCCAACATATATCGTCTTTATCTCCCCTCCTTCTTTTTTGTGTTTCTTACTCTCTTGTAACACCTCTAATCTTTGACACTTATATGGCCTTATTGTGTTGCAAGTGCCGTAAAACACCTACTAAAACAATAAAACAAATAATGCTTCACACCCCCATCAACACAATTTAGATCATTTGAAAGGGTTGTTGCTTAATTCATTCAGCCCAGTTTACTCAGACCACCCAGGCCATCTGCAATACAACACAATGGAAGGAAGGGGATACTCGATAAGGCGAGTGGTTGGAATGTGTCTACGGCATATCCTACTTCTTTTCTATCACTCTTCTGTTTTTGTCTGTCTGCCATACCTAACTCAAACTGAAGAACATCGTCCCTATTTGCTTTTCTTTCTATCCGTAAAAAAGGCTTGTTAAAAGAATGTTAAGTTTTAGTAAGTGTTTTATGGCACTTGCACCACAATAAGGTCATATAAGTGCCGAAGGTTAGAGGTGTTACAAGAGAGTAACAAACACAGAATAGAAGGAGGGGATATAAGGACGATAGATGTTTGATAGGAAAGAAGGAGCAAACTACACCAGAGCACCCGCCAACCACCCACTTGTTAAAAGAATTCTCAAGCGTTGCGGATTCGACCTCGTGTCTTAAATACAAGTACAAGGTGAAGAGCCTAAAGACTACGCCACAGACTCCGGTCGACGTCTTACATCAAGACCAGTCGAGATTCCGGTTAGCTTTTTTGTTGTTGTTGTTGTTGTTGTTATTGTTGTTTGTTGTTTTTTATTTTTGGTAAGTGTTTTACGGCGCTCGCAACTGCATAAGGTCATATGAGCGCTCGGGATACACATAACATTTTCAGTTGGTAGGAATTTTTAAATTTTGCCCGGGTGGCAGCCGAAACCTACTCTTTTCGATTTTGGACCACCAAGGGATCTTTAACGTGCGCAACTTGCACACGGGACCTCCAAGATTGTTCGCCCTTGTCCGAGAAGGCGAGGTGTAGATCTTTCCAACCGGATGATCAGGGGTATGGCTGAAAGACAGCAGTAATAATGAGCCAGGGAGAAGCAATGGAAAAGCTGCAGAAAGAGTCAGGAGCCCAGAGGAGGGGGCAAAGAGGTGAGGGGGTGGGGACAGAAAGTGGAGACGAAAGCAGACAACAGAATGTTGCTAGAGTGCAGGAAAGGAGGTGAAAGGATTCAGTTTTAGAGAAGAAAATGTTTCTGCCTCTACCCGGATTCGAACCCGGGACTTTTGAATGAGAGGCGAACATTTTAACCTCTAGGCCACGAGAGCCCCTTTCCAGTTAGGTGTGGGTCCCACAATCTTGCCCACGAGCTAAACATGTTTTCCTTAAGAAAAGTCTTAAAGTTTGCCTTTAACGAAGATTTTCGTGGGCTTATGGGGTTGCATTTTTAACAATTAAATTGCTTTACAGATAACGTCACGTGACCAACATTATGGTTTGTTTTTTTAAATTTCGAATTGCTGGAAGGATGGTGTTACCTCAGGGTTTTGCTATAGCTTTAGTGTGTAGTGTGTAATCTGTTTGCCAATCTCTACCCCCCCCCCCCCTTCTCTCTCTCTCTCTCTCTCTCTCTCTCTCTCTCTCTCTCTCTCTCATCTATATGTCTATCTATCGTTACTATATATTTCTTCCCCCTCACTCTCTCTCTCTCTCTCTCACACACACACACACACACACACACACACACACACACACACACACACACACACACACACACACACACACACACATTCACACACATTCACACACACACACATACATACACACATACATACATACACACATACATACATACACACACACTACACACACACACACATACACACACATACATACGCACATACACACACACACACACACACACACACACACACACACACACAACCCCCCCCCCCACACACACACACACATGCACACTGACTCAACATCAACATCTCCTCCTCACATCCTCTGGGATCTGTCGCCATTACCCGGTTTACGTCAACTTCTCTTTAATGAAATTCTCCTGTAATGCCTTAAGTACACAGTTTGGGCAAACAACGGGTGCAAGCGGGGAAGGTCCTACCCGGTCAGTGGCTCTGCTCTGGCAAACACAAATGCGATGATGGGCTCGATCGTATGTGCTTAACTCTTTATAGGGCCAAGGCCAAGACAAAGTTTTTCCTTTTATCTCTTGAAAGGGATACAAAAACGAAACTCCCCAAAAATGACGAACAAATTGCTTTGACTTTCGGTGGGAACGAAATTTGTGAGAACAAATCGAACAAAGTGCAGCAAATTGCAGAGTGTTTGATTTATCTTGTGATGGAGTGAAATGGAGATAGAAGAAATTTCAATGAAAAATATTGAAGACAAATTACTTCGGCTAACCGTGGGAGCAACAGCTGTGAGGTCAACTTGAAATAAAAAAATTTAAGTGCGCAATGTTTGGTTATATTACTATTTATCTAGAGGCAGGGTGGAATTAAGACAGAAGGAACCACGATAAACTACATGAAAAGAAATTGGTGCACGTTGGAATGAAACGAGATAAGCCTGATGTATAATTTCTTGAAGAAGATCAAATTGCTACGAGTTGCCTTGGGTTTTCTGGTTGCTTGTTCTTTTTTTCACCGTGAATTTAAAATGACAGTTTTAATTTGCACGCACTTATTAAAATTCTGTGTTCTTCTTGAGTGGGGAGAGGGTGTGAGAGTATGAGTGGGACGAAGAGAAAATGAGTCATACAGAGAGAAAAGGAGGTAGAGCGAGAAAGAGGGGGGAAGAGACAGAGAGAGAGAGAGAGAGAGAGAGAGAGAGAGAGACATGGCGTGTTTGTGTAATGCTGCGTTGCTACGTATGTACTTCTTATTTATAAAAAGTGTTGATTAGGCGTAAAACATTTACAATTAATGCATTCCAAAAAAAGCTCAAATACTTTTGTGATTCCATTATGGTTTACCCGTCCGTGCGGTCTTATTACTTGACTCTTCACCTTGCAGGCAAAAGACTTGAGCAGTGGGTGGTCAGTGGGTGGTCTGTTGCGGCTTGCTCCTTCTTTCCTATCAAATATATATCGTATTCGTCCTTATATCTCCCCACTTTCTTTTTTCTCGTATGTTACTCTCTAGTAACACTTCAAATCTTTCGCTCTTACTGACCTAATTGTGTTACAAGTACTGTAAAACTCTTTCTAAAAACTTTTTTTTAACCTAAAGATTTGAACACGGTTCCCATATGACGAAAATGTTTTCATCAAGCATCGCAGGGTTTTTTTGGTTTTTTTCTAAGTGAATGTGTCTGAAATGACTTGTTATGTTGGTCGTGACAGACGTTCAGGGGTTCAAGCCTCAGCTCGACCCGACATTATGTCCCTGGAAAAGGCACCTTACACAAAATTCCTATTTGGCTCGATCCTTTCAGAGATGGACGTTAAACCCCGAGGTAGTATTAACCTACTTGTGTTAATAGGGGCGTAAAACCTATGCCCTTTGACATTCTTTTTTTCAGACATAGTCGGAGCAGCCCGCCTCCCCAGAGTACCTAAAGTGTGCCAATGAGGGTGTAATACAGCAACATTAGCAAACTAAACATTCCTGGCCTGTTACCCGAAACACATCATTCATTCTTCTGTCTGTCTCAAATGAATATATCATTATATCTATGATACATCTGATACCATCTGGAAACATAATTTCTCAAGTTGAGTGCAGTGAACAGGCATGGAGAAGTCTTACCTCCTGTACTGCCCATGTAACGTATTATTTTTTTGTAACCTGTCTTGCTTTTTTCCCCTGCTCTAAAATACGATTACTTATAGCGTTGTCATTCGTTTCTTGTTCTTACTTTACTTTTTACTTTTTTCTTCCGCTTGTACCGGGGGTTGTCGCAGGGAGACACGGGTGTCTGTCTGCAGCAAGGCGAGTGGCCTGTAGGAGGGACATCCCGTGAGGTTTCTTTTTCACCATGGCAAAACTGGTGGCATACGCTCAATCTAGTTTCTTTTTCCGTTTGTATCCATTACACAAAAGATACACGCAGATGTACATACGCCAGCTTGTAACTGATGCTAAAGGGTTAAAGCAGACGGCGAATGTTACCTCGCAACCACTCCCGAGTCGCGGTGGTGAAAATGTAGCAGCACTGAAGAGGATTTTTTTGCTCTTAGTAGTCTTAGTCTTTCCTTGTTTACCAAGGATCTCTCAGGGATCCTGGAGCATGATGATTATGTAAATGTAGCTGATTTGTGTTAGAAGAAGTCGGTTAGAGGTCACTGAGCAGCAGTGGTTGTTGTTGTTGTTGTTGTTGTTGTACAGATTTAACGCCTCCTTTCAATCCTGTCAGGTTATTTAATAGGCGAGACCTCCGACCATAAGGTTAAACTCCGGCAGGACCAAGTCAAATGCGTGGAGTGGGTGGTTGTCGGGTGCTCTGGTGTGGTTTGCTTTTTCTTTCCTCTCAAACATATATCGTTCTTCTCTCTCCTCCTTCATTTTTGTGTTTGTTACTCTCTTGTAACACCTCTAATCTTTGGCATTTATATGACCTTATTGTGTTGCAAGTGTCGTTAACTCTGACTAAAACTAAAAATAAATGCGTGGAGAGCCTTAAAAACTCCCCAAAATAACTCATTAAGTTCAAGAACGCCCTGTTGGGAATTCGAACCAAGGCCGTCCGTTCTGTTGTCCAACGTGATACCACCTGAATATGGAGCACCTCACTGTGTAGCTCCTGTGATTCAGGGAGAATATTTATAACACTTCGTTGAAGGAATTGAAGCGCTCTTCTAGTAGGTCCTGCTCCTTTTCTTATTTTCTTTCCCTCTGTTGTTTGTGTTTGTC